AAGAAAGAAAGAAAGAAAGAAAGAAAAGAAAAGAAAAAAGTAAATTGATTCATAAATAAGGAGCCAAAGGTATCTCAGTCAGTGAAGCACTTGGTTTGCAAACACAATGACCTGAGTTCAAGCCCCCAAACCCATATATACATGCATGGTATGGAGATGGCCACTTGTAATCCCAGCACTGGGAAGGTAGAGAGAGGCAGATCTTGGGAATTCCTGGCCAATCAATCTAAGCCATCTGGTGAGCTCTAGTTCAGTGAGAGACTATTTTTCAAAATAAGTTGATGTTGTTCCTAAAGATGATACCTGAGGTCTTACAAGTTACGGACCAAGTGTTTAAAACCCAAATATTATCTCCACAAGCACATGAACATTGCATGCACATGCATAAAAAATAATTTAATGTAATAAAGAAAATGGTTAGTTTCCTTCCTTCCAGTTGCTTGTGCACAGCCTATTCTCATGCTAGTTTCCCTCTTTTCAAAGCACTATTTATAACACAAAAGTCCTTATATGCCCTCAATTTACATTCAAAATTTGATTTAAAAGTTTTAAAATATTTATAGAATAATTTTAAATTTTAAAATAGTAAATTTTCAGCTGTAGTTTATATGTAGACACATGATGGCAACATTTTAGCTGCATAACCACAATGCTAGGTACTTTCAGCATTGCGTGGATATTCCATAATATTGTGTACATCACTGTAAATAATGATTGCAAGCATAATTTCATTGCATTACTATAGCTAAAAATGTTCCAGGATGTCAATAATATTGACACAGAATTTAGACTTGGTGAAGGTATTATGATGTTCCTGACATCCCATTCATTGCCAGCTGAACTGTATCTCTCTAGCTAAGATTCATAAGTTGAAACCCGAATGTCCAGTACTTCAGAATGTGATTCTATCTGAAGATGCAGTGTGTGTGTGTGTGTGTGTGTGTGTGTGTGTGTGTGTGTGTGTCTGTGTCTGTGTCGGTGTCGTCTGTGTCTTTGTGTCTGTGTGTGTCTGTGTGGCTGTTAATATTTATTGTCAAGTTGATTGGGTTTGGAATCATGTAGAAAACACATATTTGGGCATGTCTGTGAGGATGTTTATAAAAAGATTTGAATGATAAAGGAAGAGAAACCCTGAATCCCATGGAATGGGGTCCCAGAATAAAATAAAAGGCATAAAAAGAGGAAGACAGCTAAGTATCAGGATTCACGTTTTATTTCCTGGCTTTGGACAAAATGTGCCAAATTGTTTCCTGTTCTTGATGCTGTCCAGCCCATGTATCCTTTAAAGCCACAGCAATAAAGGTAACTAATACAAAAAAATGGTACCCAAAACTGGGTTGCTGCTGTCATAAAGCTGACCACATGGCTCTTAAGCCTTTAAAATTGGTTTGTAGGAGGACTGGAGAAAAGTTTTGTGCCAAAATCAAGAAAAGCCCTGAAATACTGTAATCAGCCCCTATTGGGCCATTCTGATGTGGATGTGAATACCTAGAATTTTGACAGAATGACAATAAAGACTGTGTTCACAAAGTTTCAGAAGGAAATAAGGACTCCATGCAGAAGTAGGCTAGAGGCTGAATCTTAATGTAATGGACTAAATTGTTTGGCAGAAGAAATATCAAGACAGCATAATGTAATAGGTTATAATATTATAATGTTAAAAGTTATAAGGTTACTATTGCTATGATGAAACACTATGAACAAAACACGTCGGAGAGGAATGGGTTTATTTGGTTACACTTCCACATTGTAGTCTACCATCTAGAAAAGTCATGGGAAAAACTCAAACAGGGAAGGAACCCAGAGGCAGGAGCTGATGCAGAGACCATGGAGGAATGCTCTTTCCTGGGGAGGTGCTGGTTAGTAGTATGTTGGCCTCAGGCTACTTTTCCTTTGTCCTACTGGAGAGTGAGAAGTTTTCCTTTGATGGTACTAATATCTTAACAAGTATAGCTACTCCCTCCTCATCAACTAGCTTATGCTACTTTCCTCACCAAGTTGCATTTTTCATATGTCTCTAGTTTCTCATTATAAATCAGACTAAGAAGAGTAAGTACTGACCATTTATGCTGTACAGTTTTATGTCAACTTGGCGCAAGATAGCTTGTGGTCTCTGAAGAGCGAACCTCAGTTGAGAAAATGCCTCCATGAGATCTGGTGTAAAGAGTCTCTCTCTGTCCTACCAGCCAGCTCCAAAATGAAGACACAGAGACTAATGTTAATTTTGAAAACTTTGCCTGTAGCTTAGACTTGTTACTTACTAGCTTTTATAGCTTAAATTAGCCTATATTTTTATTAATCTGTGCTCTACCATGTGGCTTTTAACTCTACCTCATTCTGTGTGTTCAACTCATTCTATGTCTGGGATAATAAAAATGGCTACTTGGAGAACACCTAGTAGAAAACTAAGGGATACGCAGTTGAAGGACAGGAAGGTATTCACTCTGTGACTAACAGATCTAAAGATAGACCTATCATCTTGACATAGATAAAAACCAGTTGAAAACTATTAATTAAACCTAGTTCTACCAATCACAGAGGCTAAGAATGTGCTCATGTAGCATCTGAGGCCGATAGCTGAGATTTCTAAGTTGTGTTGTAACAGTAATGTTTTATCAACCTATTTGAAAAAAATATTTTTTTATTTAAGACTTTCTTTGTTCTATCATTATAAAAAGTTCTTTAAAATCGCTATTTCATTGGAACATCAAATTATGGGTTATCCTTAACCCGTGTTGGATGGGGTAGGGGGGCGTGGTCTGTTTGACTCCAGAATAAATCCTCTTACCAATTTTGAGGTGAGAATTACTTTTGCATGGACACAGAGAAGCGCCCCTCCTTGCCTTCCGAAGTGCTTCTTCCCTGTTTTTTTTTAATTAATAATTCTAATGCTTCATACTGGCTAAATCTGAACTAATTTCTCCAGTTTTCCCCGTAAGTGTTTCAAAAGAACTCCCCAGACGTGGTGGGCTCCAGAGTGGAGGGGGTCAAGCTGCGTGCCCATGCAGCACAACTCAAGATGCTGCACTTCATCCCTAGACCAATGGACTCCCCGACCCTGTGGGGAGCCCTTGCATGCTGGGAGTCGCCCTAGGGGGCCACGCTCCGACTGCATTCGCCCGAGCAAGTGCAGGGACTGACGGGGACAACCGGTTGCAGCTGCCTAGACAGAGGCAGCGGCAGGGCGATCGGCAGAGAAGAAGAACTAGGGCGACTCCGGTGACCCACGGTGTCTGCACCACTCCGACCGCTGACCTTTCGGCCCCTGCGGAGACGCGCTGACGTCATAG